GGCCTGGGAATGCCTTGGGCTCCCCCCGGAGGAGCTGGAGGAGGTGTCTGGGGAGAGGGACGTCTGGGCGTCTCTGCTGAGTCTGCTGCCCCCGCGACCCGGTCCCGGATAAGCGGAAGACGACGAGTACGAGTACGAGTACGTTTCCATTGCTCTATAAGTTGCCTTGGCTGAGTCGCCAATTCCCTACTGCTTTCCCTTTATCATAATTGCTGTACCACTTGACTGTGGAATATCTAGTAGCAAGGAAATTTCATGAAAGGACTCATTGCATATTGGCATCCGATCATGGTAATATGCTATTCACTGAAGTCCTGAGAGCAACCCATTCTTTCACAAATATCTGTAGAAGCAATCTGAATGCTGAGGTCCTGGATTTTATACACTTGTGGCCTTGGTAGTCGTTGGAACGCCTGAATTCAATGAGCTGGATGGGCAAGCAAATACTTTTGGGAACATAGGGTATGTGTAAATAGCATGTGAAACTGATTCTAGCTGACAACTGCTGGCACACACAAAATAACTTGCTGTGCTGTTTTGTGTTGTTATGGCTGTACAGGCTGGTTTGTATCATCTCACATTGTGCAGGTTGCTGCTCACATACCTGCATCTCAAAGGTGATTATGACGTCCATAGTTGTGCCTCCAGTCCTCCAAAAACAAGAGTCAAGCTGCAAAGCTGAGCATCTGGCTGTTCTTGGTGGACAAAGTTCCAACAACACACAAGGCATGACTTTCTGATCAGTGACTGACGGCTATGATCAAAGCCATCTGACAGTGTGGAGCAACATTGTTTGTGTAGTTTTTTTAGGCTGCTGTCAGAGTTTGGGGAAAATATATTTTCTTCTTCATCGTCATGGGGCTGCAAGGCAATATGTTGACAGCTTGGAACTTGTTAGCAGCCATTGTTACAAGGAAGCCATATGTTACTTTTGCAGAAAAACAAAGGTGATGTAGATAATAAAAAAAAAACATCTTTAATATATTGTTTGTTATGTTATCATCTTAGCCACATGCTAAAATACAAGTGAAAACTATTTTCAAAACTAATCCAAGTTGATACACTTTGTTATATAAACAACATTATATAAATGTCTTATGTAAAATAAGGCAGCTATATTTATTCATTTTAACTTCAGACAAATTTGTCCATATCATAAAATGAAAGCACAGACACACACGTAAATCTGACACTTAAATAAATGTTGAAATTTGTTTTGTTTTTGTAGGGCAAAAGTTAAACTTTGCTTGGTGTTTTACAGAGATGCATTTTTCCTCTTTTTGTAATTTTTGAAATCCCATTTTTTCAATCTCTTTAAATGTACTCGACAATAATGAACAGTATTAATATTATTATGACTATTTCTAAAATAGGTAGTGGAATACATAATTTTATAGTCAGCTCAATTCAAATGTCATTTTTGTTTAAATATAGTTTTTCAACAATATATATGTCTATAATGTTAAAAATGCTTTGAGATTAGAGTTAGATTAACATCCATCCATTTTCCATACAGGTTCGTGGGGGAGCTGGTGCCTATCTCCAGCAGTTAACAGGCAAGAGGCAGGATACGTCTTGGACAGGTCGCCAATCCATCACAGGGCGACACAAAGACAAACAACCATGCACACACCCATTCATGCCTAATGAAAATTTTAGAGAGATCAATTAATCTAACAGTCATGTTTTTTGGACTGTGGGAAGAAGCCAGAGTACCCATGCACGCACAAGGAGAACGTGCAAACTCTATGCAGAAAGACCTCAGGCCAGGAGTTGAACCCAGGACCTTTTTGCTGCAAAGGCAGCAGTGCTACCAACTGCACCACCGTGCAGCCCACATAGATTAACATTTATATCAAAATCAAGATGTTTTTGGGGGTTTGTTTCAAAGGCCATATGGAAATCAGATTCCTCAACAATGCTTTGTCTTCAAATTTGGTTTCCAGAGATGTTGTTCCTAAGCTGGGGATTGTTGTATGCTTTTGAGATAGTAAATAGTGAAGCACAGATCTCTTTTTGACCTAGAAATTTCTGTCCACAGAAAAATGCTGGGAGCAGCTCCTCTGGTAACACTATCAGCTTCTATAATGTGCAATAGGACATGGTCAGCACACTGAAAACAGAGGTCAGGACTGTGCCGGAAAATGAGATAGCAAGCTGTGGGTCTGACATTGATGCAGTAAATGTGCTCAAGCAGAACACAGTGAGACAGCTTAGGAACACCAGTTCTGTAAAATTGATGAAGCTGATGCCCTTGGAGAAATTGATCATCTCTTCTGATCATATTCTAATCATACGTATACCTTCATAAACACTAAAGTGTCTATAAATCAGGAAAGCAAATCCAAATGGCAAACTTGAATCAATGAAAAATCCTGTCTTCATAGGTCCACATAAGTCAGCAATGGCCCATAGGATTCAGGTCTTGCAAAATCCCTCTGTATAATTGACATGCAGTTCCTTTACACAGTCATCAAATTAGGATCCAATGTGTCATCACTCATCACAGCTAAATTTGACCTCTAAAGTACCTAAAATCCCTGTAAAACCTGGGATTAACCTGAAAGCAAACAAGATTTACATTTTGGCCACAAATCATGATCAACAGAGAAGATGAGTGCCATAAGGGTTTCCTTCTACTAAGTGGCTTATTAGTCACACTAGGTTAATTATGTCCACCTGTTTCTGCTTACAATCATTTCACAGTTCAGTTATCAAGTATGATAAAGGCCAAAGGTTTGCCTGCAAGGGAAAGTAAGACCCTTATTATTTTGGAATAAAAACATGAAAAACAACATTACCATTTGGAGATAAAAGTTGAAAATAACAGCACTAATAACAAATAATGATGCAGTGAATGTCCTCAAGAGCAACCAATGTAATTTTTCTCTTTTTTTCTTTCTGCTGTTCCATATCAAGAGTGGGTGGCTTTGCTCTTGTAATCTTACTCATTGTAGCATAACATTACATTGTGAAATGTAAGTGTTTGGTATCCAACAATATTTAGCATTTGTTTGTATTTATATTTACCCAAGAGTAACATGGCTCACTAAATGGCTGATTTGTGAAAAATTGGCAACAACGATGAAACAAGCTAAAAATATGGATTTGGCTGCTCTCTGACACTGGGAAAGAGAGGATTTAGAGGGAAGTCTATCAGATAGAGTATGTAGCCCAGAGCCTGTTGGTTTCAACACATATCATCTTACCGTTGCCCTCTCTGTTTTACCTCCATACACACACACAATCAGTAGCTCTCAATATATCATTGCAGTTGCCATTTACCAATCATTCACCCATCTGAGCTTGCTGACATAAGGTCAGCTGCCTCCACACCAGTTGGGAGATGTAATTTTCTCAGTGAGGCAGCATTGTTGAGTTTCCACCTTCGCTGGTTGTGATCAGGAAACTTAAATGAGGGAACCATACATTTCCATGTAGTTTAATTTCAGCTGGTTGTATTTTATGTCTTTTTGTTTAGCTTCTTGTTCAATAAACTGACTTTTTATAAACTGACTAACAATCCCTTAAAGTTCAGAATACACAATGTTGCCTCTAAGAGACAAAGTCCTTCAAGCACAACATGCATGCCAAATCCAACTAATTCATCATAAAATGAAATAATCAAACACAAGCTACTTTTGTATTATGTAGTTTAGACTAACGGGGAAGGAAAAGACCTGTATACAGGTCAGAAGTGCATAGTTCAACACAGCCAACTCTAGCTTTTATGCAGGGTGTGTGTTCTGAAAAGTGTTAAATTTTATGGGATTTAATTGCTCCACAGGGGACCTCTCGATGTGCAGTCAAGTGCTCTAGCACTGAACTATGCCCCCTGCAAAAACGTAATGATCGTCCGCATCATTTGGATTTTTTTTTTCTCACAAATCCTGTAGATACTGTCCAAACGTAATCAGTGGATTCAGTTTCACTTTCTTTCTTAGTAATTCCTACACTTTTAAGCAATATTGACCAATGAAACTAATGTGAAAAAGTCTCTCTAATTCAACCAATTAACAACATAATGAAAGCAGAGTTGCTGAATAGTGGAATAAAACCAAACAGTAGACATGTTGCTGCACAGAAATAGCAAAAATTAAGTAAAATTAAAGCCTGATTATTTAGCATTTTTTTTTCCAGTCAACACAACTTTTATTAATACATCTTTAGTTTGAGCTAAGAACTTTTTGATCTTACATGCAAACAGATTTCAGATTAGATTCTTTTATTGTTATCCACTGATAAAAAGAAATGGATTCAGGGCAGGACCAAAACTTTAATTACAAAAGTGTTCATGGGTTTGACATATGTGTTTGTCCCTATTTTATGACCATGTTTTGTTAAAGTCATGAATAGATCAAACAAAAAGGTAATCTAAATAATGGCCTGTTAATTGTTGCTAAATTGTTGGTTAAAACTTGTCAATAAATATGAAGGAAAATTACAGGCAGTAAGCATCCAAAACACAATATTTATGCAGATTCAGCTAGAAGACATTAAGATCCAAACTTCACTCCATCTATAGTCAAACATGCTACCACTAAACTAGTGGAAGGCTGATATTTTATCCATAAATATTTTTGATTTCACCTACAGCATTCGGTAGGTGCGGTTTCATCCATTCTCTGTGGATTCAGCTTTGTCTTCTTCCTTATCTATTTTTTTTTAGCAATCTGGAGCCAGACAACTGTAATAACATAACAGCAACATAATTCATGCACAGCACTTGAGCACAAGGTGTTCAGAGTTGAACAAGACCTCTTGATCTGCAGTCAAATGTTCTAGTCCAGGGGTTCACAAAGTGGGGGTCGCGAGACATAAAGTGGAGTTCGCCAGATAATTTTCAGAATCATTGTGATGTGACCGCTGAAATGTATGGAGGGCCAAAGGGACAAAATTAAACAAATAAATATATCAAGAAATAAATAAATATGAATGTCCTATTAAATAAATAAATGTACCATGAACTAAATAAATGTACCATGAATAAATAATCAAATGTCATTTAAAACATTTCTTTTTTTTTAGGTGGTCGCCAGTCTCTGGCACTGTTATTTTAGGTATCACCGGCTGAAAGATTTGGGAACCCCTGTTCTAGTCTACAACATAGCTATGTTTTTTCAAAGAAGAGACGACATAGAAAACATTTTACCCAAAGCAAGATAAATTGAATCTTGCAGCTTTTTCTGTAAATTTAATCCATTTACTATGGCACAGTTTAATTTTTCATGGGCACAACATTTAAATGGAAACTTAAATATTTACTATACTTATTTGTTAATGCATGACTGTTAAGTAAATTGGTCTCTCTAAACTGCCCTTAGGTGTGAATGAGTGTGTGCATGGTTGTTTGTCCTGTATGTCTCTGTGTTGCCCTGTGATGGATTGGCGACCTGTCCAGGGTGTACCCCGCCTCTCATAATTAGACTGCTGGAGATAGGCACCAGCTCCCCCGTAACCCACTATGGAATAAGCGGCATAGAAGATGAATGAATGAATGAATTTGTTAATGCACTAATTAATCATACATATTGTGGATTACTTTAAGAAACAAAAGTAAATTATTTTCTACATGTTTTGATGAGATCGACCATGAAGAATGCAACAATGTAAGGAGTTTTAAAACTGTATTCATTCAAGAAGTAATGGACTGAATGTTGGAACAAAGGTTCATCATATCTTTTTATGTAACTAGCACTTCCCGAAATGTGATGCACAATTCATTTTCTGTTTCATGTCAACGTTGTTGCAAAAGTAAGTATTTTGCAAAGATAACATTAATCTAAACAAGGAAATTGACTAATTTGCTGCTTTATATCTTTTGAAAGCAACCAAAGTCAAAAGTCGTATTTTCTTGTTGCCTACCAGTCTGGTATTTAATATTCTAGATGTCTTCAGATATTTGAAACATGTAAATTCTCAGAGTTTCGATTTACGTCAAGTGGAGGTCATCAAAATGTGATATATTCCTGATGTAAAAACAGTACGGACAATATCTCAAAACAAAATTTGCTATGTCTATTTCTTGGTTGGTTGTATTGGTGAATACAGATTTTTTTAAAAAAACAATTAGTACAAGAGCCTCTTACAGACTCATTGCTCAATACTTAGCTGGCGGCAAACAATCATGTTGAAATTGTTGGCCAGCCAGAGAAATGCTGGAGAATATATTTTGATCAGATGAGGTCAAAGCTGAACTCTTTGGATGACATTGCACACATTATATTTGGGGGAAGAACTGTTTTGCATGTCACCCCAAAAACACCATAGTAAAAGTAAAGTTTGCAGGTGGGTACATCATGGTGTGGGCTGTTTTACAGCACATGGACCTTGCAGACTTCATATACCTGAAGCAAGGATGAATGTAGAAATGCACCAGGCCATTTTTGCTAAGAATTTGAAGATGATACTAGTGTGGGTTTTTTAAATAAGACAGTAGTTTGTTTGAAAACTGATTTTCATGCATAGAGAGGATGCCCAGAACCTTCAAGATTTAAAGAAGGTTTGTGCAGAAGAAAGAGTCAAAATAACACTTGAGTATGCATGTGACTCCATACAGGAGATGTCATGAAGGCCTTTTCCATTTAATACATTTCTGTAAGTATGTTTAATACTTATTCCCTGTGTCTTTTCAATTTTTTATCCATACATTAATTTGTGGACTAATTAGCTTTAATTTATTTGCATATGTGTATTACTTGGGTTGTTGCTGACATCTAGTCTGAATTTTATGTCAGTAGCCCAGTTAGAAAAACTTAAAATGAGAAAACGTTCAATACTTATTTTAAAAGATTTGGAAAATAAATATATATTTTTTTATTTTTAAGACTCA